TTCCTAACCCTAAATTTGTGTTTTTACGCACTTTGTTTATTTACAAATTAAATTTCCTTTTTTGGGTTGTATTACTGACACAAATAAGTAAAGCCGTCTAAAGCCATGTATCCACGTGACTTTTTTGTGTAAATCAACCGACCGGAATTGTGAAATTTTGTTTACACGGATCAGCTCGAAGAAGTCAAAAAATAAAGAAAATGCAAAAAGACGAAAAATGGCAGTCTTAACCTTTCTTGGAAAACTAATTAAAAATGTCGGGAAAGGAATTTTATCTATAACCCTCTTCTTATATTAACACCAAACTAACTCTAATCCTAATCTTAATTTTAATTAAAACGATTAAAACGTCAAAATCACGTGGGTACATGGCTTTAGCCATCTCCCTATTTTGGATATTTTGGGGTAAACAACATAAATAACTTAAAAACAAATTGTAAAAATCGTCAAAAAATTGGCTAACTTCGGGGCCCAAATCCTTCTCAGGCTTATTTTAACCACCCTTAAAATTTCAGAAGAAGAACCTTCAAATGCTAGTGAGTTTGCAAAATGCTACTCAGAAATTAAACCAACTTTTTAGTCTAGAAAGCAAAATTTGCCTAAATTTTACATATAAAATTTAGTTGCGTCAGTCATTTGACCTACATGTTAAAATTTTACATGTGACATATCGGGCGTCTGTTATTTTGTTAATATAAGATCGATTGTATGACCGAATAATTGTGTAATTACTGAATTATCATAAGCTAAAATTTTTTCTAACCATTTTTATTTGTTGTATTGATTTTTCGATTATTGTCAGTGCAAGTCACAAACCGGTTTGGCAAAATACACAATGTCTATTCATTCAAATGGTCGTCAGCTTAGGTTGTTATTTTTATTTTGTTAAAAAAATTAGTTTAAACCATTTTAACTGTTTTTGCGTTTGCAGATATATCGTTGAAATGTCGTTATTTTGTATCGTTCTAGCCGACCCTCTTACGAGCCCTTTCCCGGTTGATATTGCAGAAAAAAACTTCATTGATTGTCTTGAAATTTCTATTGACAATCTCACTGTTGGGCATCTCAAGAAGCTTATCTGGAAGCAGAACCAATATGATCTTGCCGATATTAACCCTGCCACACTGACACTATGGAAGGTTGAAGGTCTTAACGAAGGAAACAGGAAGTGGGAGATACTCGAAAAAAAGGCTTACACGGAAATTGATATCAAGCAGGAATTTGGAGGTGAGAAGTTGTTTTCAACTATGAAGTTTAAAGAAGCTTTCCCAGTCAAACTTCCGGATAATACCGTCCATATTATCGTACAATTGCCCAGTAAGTGTCTCGCAGTATTTTATTTCTTGAATATGAAAATTTGCACTCATTTTAGTTGAAAAATTGCGCATGTCGATTAGGAAAAAGAAGCCGAGATGATTCGGACGAGAAAGGTGAAGGTCAAGAAAGTAAAAAAGCAAAACTAGTAGGTGTGTATAGTTTTTAAATTTTTATTTTAAAACCGAACATCAATCATCTTACCATGCATTACTATTTTTTAGCAACCTCTAGTAAAATTATGGAGAGCATAATGAAACTTCCCGATATTTGTAATGTTTATTCAAGCCCGAAAAATTTCCTTTCATTACCATTCCCGTATCCCGGGTCAAATATACCAGTAGATAGGTTTGCCATTAATGAAGATGGTTGTTTTACCTTCATGGGAAGAAAAGAATTTATCAACGTTTTAAACGAAATCAACACATTTAAATCACGCACCGGTTATATGGAAATGTTTATTTATGGCACAGTTGGGTATGGAAAGTCTCATATTCTCACAGCAATAGCTTGCTTTCTTCTCCGAAATGGAAGGCGCGTTGTATATCTTCCCGATTGTCGCAAATTAGCGGTAGACCCAATGGAATACATTAAATCAGCCTTATTTCTCACCTACGTGGATGATGATGCGAAAACAAGCGAAATTAATGCCTGTGAAAGTTTTGATCAAATCATTAAATTTTGCAGATCATTAGACGAAACATTATATTTTATCGTAGATCAAATGAACGCTCTGGACGATTGTAATGATACTGAAATTAACCCAGAAAAAAAGCGACAAGTTAAAGAAAATATTGATAAATTGTGCTGGAACCATTTTTATATTAAGAGTTCTTCGGCAAATAACCATGCAGTATTACATCTTAAGCAAAAACAGACTAATGAAAAAAAAATTACGCTTTATGGAGGATTCGATGAGGTATGATTAGATAACCTACGTTGTGAATTTTCTACGTATTGATGTAATATTCAATTTAGGAGGAGATGGAAGAATGGTGGAAGAAGCATAATTCCGTTTTGCCAACAACGAATAATTGGCAAAAAGATCAAATTGAAGACATAACTGGCAGAATTCCGCTTTTCCTAAACGTTTTGCTAGAATCTGGTCGCAAAAATTTTAAAGAGGCGCTGAGCTACTTAGATCAACAATTAATACCGAAGATAAAGGAGCCGATGACGAACTTTTCAGACAATATGCCAGAAGGAAGGCACGAATTGTATGTATTTTGGTTTGCTTCATGGTCAGTAAACTATGTGAAAATTGACTTCACTATTTACACAGTCACGTCAAATTGATGTCATCGTTTCTGACAAAAGGATATCCTCCAAGTGGTTATGGTGTTAGTGATTTTGATCATCGTTTTTTCTACATTGAAAATGAACTATGTCATTATGTTTGTGGGGTGGCACGGGATTGCATGGCTAATTATCTCTATGAAAAGAAACGAATGGAAATATTCACAGATATAAAGTGGATCAGTTGCATAGAGAAATTCAGAAACAACCCATCGGTTAAAGGATTTTTTGTAGAAAAGGCGTGTATTGCTAGTATTTTTAGGAATGGAATTATGGCGAATCGCGTAACATTTAAGCCTAACGATATAGAATTTTTTTGTGACGAAAAAGAAATCAGATTTTCTTCAAATGAAGGGAAATGTATACTTTACTTACCACGCTGTTGGAACCAAGAGGCAATCGATGGATTAATAATTTCGAAAACAAATAATAAATTATATGTAGCCCCAATACAGATTACCCTTGACAAGGGTAGTCATTCAGATTCTGAGGGAATATTTTTCTCCAATATTTGGCCGAATTTAAAGTCAACATTATTAGGCCTTGAGGACGGATTAGAGATAATATTTATATGGATTACAAGTAAGAGTGATACAGACGTAATAGTAGAAATTAATTCTAGAAAAACACGAAATAAAACTTTTGAAATTAATCACGATTATACTCGGGTAGTAATGGGATTTGGGAATGTTAACAAAGATATTGATCGATATCTATTTTAATCAAAGTAGTTTATAGAGAAAAATTTAACAAGATTTTCTACTTTGATAAACTAATAAAAAGCTTTATTTTGTGTCAATACTGTGAATCTTTTTATAAGATCTAATTTTCATTTATTATGATAAAACTAAAAAAATAAATTCATTATTAAATAGAGTAGTGGGTTTAAAGAAAGGAATTTGCTAGCCCTTAGACTATAAAGTAGCAGTTTTTTTCTGCCTCTAGACATAATGTAGCAGTTTCTTTTTGCTACTTTATATTATCTAACCATCTACCAATATTATTAAGTATAAATCTTTTACAACTAGTGCTATTATAATAAAAAATTTTATTTGTTGCTATTTTAACTTTACCATCAAGGTCTTAGATGCATATCTTAATTTTGTTATACATTTCATTAAAAGTAAGAATTCTTGCATTCTTTTCTTAATTAAATATTTTTTTAAAGTAAGCACAGATGGTTGAGCTAATATTTGAATATTGAATTTAACTAAATCTGATAAAAGTATAGAATTTGATAATTATATTGTAATATAAATGCATTTTTATTAACATTTTTCTATATATTTTCTTAAATTTTTTATATATTTTATATTATTATTATATAGTCAAACTTTCTTATAGTTATCTTTTATATAAATATATTATATAAAAATTTTCTTTATAAGCATATTTATTTTAAAATAAACTATTATAAACATATAAAAAACCTCTTTATAAATACATCTTGGTAAAATTCTTCTTACAATTACACAATCTTATCTTAAGGGGTGTGATTATAAAGAAATTAAACTATATATATATTTTTTTTAATTCAGATATTCTGCTTTGTTTATTTTGATCTAGTTATATCTGAAGTTCTATAAACTTCTTCTATAATATCAACAATCTAATTTATAACAAAAGCCTATTCAAGCAAATGCCTAGATGTAATCTGCTTCAGTAGTTATTAGTTTTCCTCTAGGTTCAATACTTACTAAAGACTTTTTCTCATTAGTCATAAGCTAGTATTATACACCTATTAGCTATTATACTAATATTACAAAAACCTAGTCTTAATATGAAGATCTAAACTACAGATAGAAAATATATGAAAAGAAAATAAAACCTAATTAAAATATATTTTAATTTATATGTAAGGTTAAAATTATATACTATATGATTGCAATACAAATATATATTTAATTTATATAGCTACTTAAGAATTATCTTATTTTTATCCAAGTTATAAACAATAACTTTTAGAAAGTTCTATATTCATTTATAAGCATCTGATATAACAGGTCGAACTTTATGCATTGGCTAATAGGCCTGTTCTAGTTTCACAACATATTTCACTAGCAGTCATACATATTTGTTATAATTTTTGTGATCATACTGCATTTAAACTTCTTAATATAAAATATAAACAATGCTAATCTTCTAACAAGAGTAAACCAAAATCTTCACTTATTAAAGAAAATACTAATACAAAGTATAGATAACTAACTAAAGAAAATATTTTCATGAGGGTGTGGCAACTTAGTGTAGTGATGAAGTTGTCGCACCCCCAAGTGGTGGTGATCAGAGTTCGAATCCCACTGATGGTGAAAATTCAAATTTCAGAACATATTATAGCAAACTGTAAGTATAAATGGACAGATTAACATCTGTAATTTGGTCATATCAGCCTGTACTGGGAGGCTATAGAATAATAGTGTAATGTACAAGTTACATAAAATCTGAGTGATGCAGCTGTGTAAATCCAGAGTTGGCGCATATGGAAGCCCACTTGGCAAGACCCGAGTAGAGAGGTAGCACAGATCTTTGACAGTACTATGTAAAGGATTATCAATTAGGAAAACTGGAAAACTGAACAGGACCAAAGTGTTTAGCAAAGCACTCTACCAACCTGGCTGCCAGAGAGTAACTAGAAGAAAAGAACCCAACTGTGGGACCAAGGGCAGGTTACAGCCCTTCCAAACCATCTGGATTAGAAGTTTAGGATGACAGGTATACAGGTGATAGTTTGTATAGTGGGTGCTGAAGTTTGGGTGAACTCTATAAGAGCAGTAGTAGATAACAGTAGCAGCTTTGGCTCGCAAGTACTTGTTCTCGGACTCGGTGTAAGTTACTGAAAAAGTCTAGGTCAGCTGAATTTGTGGATACAAAAGGCTCTAGTAGGTTTATCACAAGGATAAAGGACCCTCTATATGGCAGTGTGTGTCCACTTTAAAGTCCTAAGGGGTCTTACCGGCAGTCACTCTTTGAGGAGAATATTCGACGGCACTAAGTTGATCAGAGTGTTTAAATAGATAATCTCCTTAGTTAGATTATAGGTATAGCAGCTAGTGTAGTTCATATGAGTTACATATATAAGACTGTTTAAATAGACAACCAAAAGTTGTACATATAGCTAGTTGTACCATTATTAATATAACAAAGTTAGGGAGTAGCCTATATAGGTTGCCTTGACATTTGAATCAAAGTTCAATAAAACGTGCCAGACCCCAAAGTGGTTATCTTAATATTAAAAAAAAATAATAATAATAAATTTTCATGTTTTTCATCTTGTCTTTTTGTTTTCTTCACTTGTTTTTCTATATACTTATTCCCAGAGACTTCTCCAGTTTAGATATTAAACACACAAAAATGTCCATCTGCAAATAAAGAAAAAAGACTTGATCTTTTTGCAAACCATCTATAATGCTTACATCTTAGTATATTATATTAAAAGATTTTATTAACAACAGTTTATATACAAAAAATACAGATAGTTTGGACTTCTGAGTCTTGAGTCTTCAACTTGCAGTTGGGAAAAAGTTGGTCCAAGTAATTATTAAAAAGAGTTAGCTTTTTGATTATAGACTGAATAATTTATTATTTTATTAGTTTATTTATATAGTTTATTCCTTAAAATATATATTTTAGTTTACAAATTTGTATATTTAAATTTTTAGAAGAAAAAATTTAGATATAAAAAAAAATTTTTTAGTAAAACCTTTATTTTAATTGGTTATAGTAATTTTTAAAAACTACTGTATGTCACAAAGTGTGACAACTTAGCAAAGTAGTCAAGTTGTCACCCAAGTGGCATATCTAGAGTTTGAATCCTGTTGTTAGTGAATCTTCAAATTTTTATTTGTATACTAGCTACAATCTTTCTGAATAGGTGGTGTTATGTATAGCATTCATCAAAGTTGGGGCTTAGTTTTGTAACCCAGTATATACCAATTTAACCAAATTGGGAGAACCCATAGGATGTTTGTATAATATATAAGTTATACAAAAGTATGCAATCTGACAAAGAGTGATACAAATCTACATAAGTCCTTATAGCCAGATAATTTCTGAAAACTTCAGCAAGATCAATGCCTGTTTAACAAGACTCGAGTGGAGAGGTAGCATAGTCTTAAGTGTCTGGATGAACTCTATAAGAGCAGGGTGGTTCAGAAGTGATGTAACCTGCTCATAAAGATATAGAATTTATCTAACAAAGAATCCTCCTAAACAGAGTAGTTCAGAAGTAGTGTAATTTGGCCATAAATATATAGAATTTATCTAATAAAAAATTCTCTGTATGACTGATTAAAGGCTACTGGGTTTGCTAGTAGACTATTGTATAATCTGAAGAAAACTAGATCAGCTATTGGATAACAGACAATAAATGGAGAGCACTAGTTCAGGTATTCTCTTCTTTTACTATAACTAGTTGTACTTTAATTAGTTCTTTAATAAAAAATAAAAGATAATTTGTCACGTAAAAATGGTTATACATGGATATATAAATAGTTACTAATGTATCATCATGATAAAAATTGTAATGAAGCTATTATGTATATAGCAAAATCATAATTAAAAAAAAAAAAAACTATATCACATAGTATATTTCACAGTTTACAGTAATGGTATACTTTATATGGTCTAAACAAAAAGCAAAACTTCATCTAATTGCTATAAAGTATGTTTTGCGACCCAAACTTTAAGCTGTTGTATCTTTATAGTATTGTCTCAAAAACTAATAATATAAATCATGATGAATTCTTGATCAATTTTAATATTATATTATAAAAAAAACCTATATGTGATAATTGTAAAAAATCTTTATACAAATTTTTTTTTCTGAATCAACAACTTTTTCTAATAATCCTTTAGTCAACAACAACAAAAACCGAACTACAGTAAAATGTATAGAAAAGCAACGAAGTGGATACTAAAACTTGGTCCTATAAGTAGGAGCAGCTTGTTGTCGATGAAGTCTAAGCTGTCTAGGCATGAAA